ATACTGGGTGGGTAGACTGTTAGTGCCAGTTCTCAGTCTTCCTGATTTGTGGTTTTGAGAGTTGGCTCACCGATTGCTCCTTTGCTCTGCTAGGTAAACAGATTCAGGTGCTGTCGGGCCACCTGCAGTGGGTGTACTGCTGCTCCATCTCCCCGGACTGCAGCATGCTGTGCTCTGCGGCTGGAGAGAAGTCTGTAAGTCTCCAACATTGGGTGCCGTTTCCTCTCTTGGTTTAGTTCAGCAAGACATGGAGGTCTGAAGTGGTGTGTGTGTGAGAGGGTCAATAAGCCAGGTGTCCTCAAACTCCATCTGCACATCAGCCCCAGCAGAAGGCGTGCCGGTGGGCCGTGACCTCCTCCTGCACACCTCCCGTTGGATTTGCACTTTGACATGAACCAAAAGAGAGGAGGTGTTTAAGTGGATTGCTCCCATCATCAGAGGGCTGTTTGCCTTTACAAAATGGTAAAGGGGTGCTTTTCAAATTCCTTTTCCCCTTGGAGTCTAAGATATTAAAAGTTGCAACCTGTGTATGGATCTAAATTTCCTTTGAACCATCCAATTTGAATCCACCTAATTAGGATTTCCATTTCATATCATAAAATGTACAGTTACTTGTTGAACTTTGACCTGAAATCCTGTCTGTTATTTAAAAAAGTATTAGAAACCCAAGGACAATTTGGGAACAGTTTGTTTGAATTTTGTGTCTGCATCGAGCTGTTTGCTGGGACTGACTTAGGAAAGTTAAGAGTTAGCTATTTGGTACACCCAGGTAGTTAATCATTCATCTGAGGTTTGGAACTGTGTGAAAGTGCGAGTTTTCTAAAAGGAAAGAAAATAAAGTCCTACTTCTAATGATTCTCAGAAAGGTTTCAAGTGATGAACTATGTCACACGTATAGCCATGGGGCAGATTTCCATGGTCCTGTACACATATGGGGGCTGTAAACTGGCTTGGCAGGGTGCCTGCCACTACTTTGTTGTGAGCCCTGGAGTTCACTTCTGATTCCTATTTTTGGTTTTAAGTGAGGGGACAAGATAGCCCTTGGCTTAGGTCTTCATCAGCACGTATTGCCTCTTTGCAAACAGAGCTTAGAAGCAGAACTCAGAAGCCTCTACTGAAGACATTTTAGCTGGCAGTCTTCCTGAGGCTGGCTCAGTTTATTCTTTCAAGTAAGCTCCTAGAGCATGTCCATTGGTTAGGTGGCTCAAGAATTCAGACCTGTTACTTCATATAAACCTATGAGATACATTCTGGAAGAGCCATAGAAAAGGGGAACAAAGAACTTGGCTTCACCTGGCTGTGGGGCCCGAGGAGGGCATTGCTGTGCCTTTCATTCACTGTTCATGTTCTAAGCACTTTGTTTCCGCCCCTAACCAGGCGTCTGTTACTTTCCACAGGTCTTTCTATGGAGCATGCGGTCCTACACACTAATCCGGAAACTAGAGGGCCACCAAAGCAGTGTTGTCTCTTGTGACTTCTCCCCCGACTCTGCCTTGCTTGTCACGGCTTCTTATGATACCAACGTGATCATGTGGGACCCCTACACTGGCGAGAGGCTGAGGTCACTCCAGTAAGGACTGAATCCCTGCTTATGACTTCCTTGTGGGGTGACTGATGAGAAATCTGCCTTGGATTAGCTATGTCCCTTTTAGAGTCTGGGGCATGGGAGGGGACACTCTGGGTAAAAAGACACAGTGGGTTCAGTGCTTATTCTAAGGCTGTGGTGTGCAGTAGTGTTTCACTGTCATTTAAGTTCTCAAATTAGACCCGAATGCCTTCAAGTCTCCTGATAGAGGAGGCTGTCTGTACTTCTTTGGATTCAGCATTATGAAACCTCAAAGTGACTCTTTCTTTCCATTTACTAATAACTGTAGTAACAAGTTCAGAACAATCCTCTTATCGAAACTGTTATTTCCAAAATGAATTTTCATGTTCTCACAAACTTGGTCTACATTTTCCTTTTGTCTCTGTTGTTTTATGAAGCAAATAATAGGTAGTCCTATAATTATCATGTATCTTAGCCTAAAAAAGACTTTCAGTTTATACTGTGGCATTAAAGTGAGGGCTGACCTACTTTGCATAAGGAAATTAACACAGGGAGTGTTAGTAACCCTTCAGCCCCCTCCACAAGACACTTGGAACCTTAGGAAATGCCCTTTTTTTACAGTCTTCTTTTCCAGTCTCCAAATCCCAAGCTTTTCCATATGGGTGTAAGATGTGTCTTAAGTCTTTGCATGGCCATGGCAGTTTGGCCTCCTGCCTGGGGATGAAGATGAAGGGTGGAGAGTGGCCATCACTCCAGGCCTACTGTCATGTTTCTTTCTCCTCAGCCACACCCAGCTTGACCCCCCCATGGACGACAGTGATGTCCACATTAGCTCCCTGAGGTCTGTGTGCTTCTCTCCCGAAGGCTTGTACCTCGCCACAGTGGCGGATGACAGGTAATGAAGAGAAATCTTTACACGGCCTCAGAGCAAGTCCCTGCAAGTAATTGTAGCATTACCCTCGGGGTCTGGCCCCAGGTCTGCTAATCTGTGAATGTACTTTTTTCTCTCGTCCAGGCTTCTCAGGATCTGGGCCCTGGAACTGAAAACTCCAATTGCATTTGCTCCTATGACCAATGGTCTTTGCTGCACATTTTTTCCACATGGTGGAGTTATTGCCACAGGGTATGTATGTGTTAGCTGAACAGATGGGTAGCAGTTTCTGCTGAGTATACCGTGTAGCTTTTTAAGGAAAGAAAGCATCTAGAATTTTCTTGCCTATGAGGAAGCCTTTAAGGAAATCCAAGATTACATAAAATTCTAATATTCTATTCTGCTAATATAGGTTATCATTTACTCTTTAATATTTAATCTAAATGTAATTAAAGAGCTACAATTCATGCCACCTAATGGGCCAAGTCCGCAATGAAGCGTAAATTAAGATGATGCAGAATTTATATGGGAAACCATTTAGGGCAGAGACCACCTTAGAGGGAACATCTATAATTCAGTAGGTGGCACTCTTCCCTCTGTTACATTTGAACTCATAGTGTGATTTAGAAAGAGCTGTGCTGACAGATAGCACTTTGGTATCAAAGGTGTCTGGAGTTCTTATAGTCCTCTCAGCAGCCTTAATTATTTAGCACCACAGCCTTTACATCCATTTCAACAGTCAGGGTTGTATTTCACTCTCCGGAGTCTTCTGCTAGTGCAAGTCAGAGTAGAAACATTAATAACCATCACAGTGAAAACATATATTTCCAAAGTCTGTCTTAACACATTGGTTTCTGTTTCGTTTCAGGACAAGGGATGGCCATGTCCAGTTCTGGACAGCTCCTAGGGTCCTATCATCACTGAAGCACTTATGCCGGAAAGCCCTTCGAAGTTTCCTAACAACCTACCAAGTGCTAGCACTGCCGATCCCCAAGAAAATGAAAGAGTTCCTCACATACAGAACTTTCTAAGCAACGCTACATAGTCTTACTTGTTTTCTTTGTAGCAGGATAAATCTTCCTGGCAAAGGAGTAGCTGGAATAATGGGCCAAACATCTGGTCTTGGATTGAAATAGAATTTCTCTTTGGGATTGTGAATAGAATGTAGCAAAACCCCATTCCAATGGACTAGTCCTGGATCTTCCTCCCCGTGACATGTGCAAGTCAGTCATAGAGGGGATTCCACTTCCACGGCAACAGAGCCTTACCTTAAATCTTCAGTCCACTTATAAGCAGCGATTTTGAACTCTTTCTAGTCGTTTTTTGATTCAAAGTACAGTTACTGATGTGGTTTTCATAAGAGTAACTATGTCTCAGATGCCTCTGTAGTGGCAGAGAAGTTTAAACTCCCTCAACTGGGAAGTGTAGCTTCTGCCTAGGACTTGTCATTGTTGTGTTTCAGATGCAGTGGTGGCATTGTTTAAAGTTCTCTCCTGCTGTGTCAGAGTTGCTTTGATGTTGGCAAGTGCTTTCCTTTGTCTCGCTCCCCTCTGACCAGCAGGACAAAATTTTCATGGAGCCGTCTGATATGAGGTATTAGCTTAACTAAATTACAGGTGACTCAGAGGCTATGCTCCTGACTGATACAGACACTATAATTGGCTTTTTTTGTTTTTAACAATGGTGTGCATGTGCAGGTGACAAATTTGTATGTCAGGTTACACAAGGATGTATTCCTAAACTGCATGACTGTTCAAATGGCTACTGAGTTGTCAATTGTTTGCCATTCGTTAGCATATTTATTTGTATTTTCCCAACAGATGTTAAGGTACAACTGTGTTTTTCTCGATGGTATCTAAAAACCATAGTACTTAAGTCGAACAGTTGTGAAGATGTCTCTTCTTAATCGTGTAAAGAACTAGTGTCCTCATCACTTCAGCTGACTTTCTTATGTAGGAGATCTGACTTTGCTGCCTCACCTCATCAGACTCATCATCAGCCAGTTTCAACTCGACCCCTAAACAAAAACAGCTTCTTAAAAGTACTGTTGTTCTTCAGTGGCGTATAGTTGTCTAATCAAGACACCTCATCAAACAAATCTACCTTTGGAAAACTTAATATATTTTAAATTATTTTAAAAGAAATGCAACATCTTATCCTTTGGCTTTCTTAATAGGTGCTTTATGGAGGCCAGTGTAACATTATAAAACTTGTTGAAAATGTAGAGGAATCTTTGCTATCACCCTTGTTGCTGAAGACAAACATTTCTTTTAAATGAGAGGCTTTCATTGAAGGAAAACAAGGTTTTGGCTCTCTGCTTCATTTTTTCCATTAAGAAAAAAATCTCCTTTTAACACAAGTGAGTACAACTGGACAGATGGGAATGGATTGGGCAAATTTCTAATTTTATGGTTATTTTGAAGTCTCACATAAAGCAGTCTTAGAGGCTCTGGGTGGCTTCCTTGAGGCCCCACTTGGCCATTAGTTTCAAACTTTTGCTTGTGTCCTTGGGGACGAATCCTACATGAATGATGGAAATAACTGACTTCTCCCTTTTGAAAGTATAAGAATTTGATATCTTTATAAAGAAAAACCTCCAAGAAAGTTTATTCTGTGATATCAGAGATGGAGGAGGCTTTTTCATATAAATGCAAGTTGGATAAGCATCTTTATAACTGGCTGAGGAGAGAAGAGTCACTTGTAGCACAAGCAATTTAAGAAAGCTGCTTTATTTTTACTGTGAAGAACAGTATCATAAATGTAGCATAACTGCTGTCAAGTAAGCCGCCACATTTGTACACAAGTCCTAATCCTAGCAGTGGTTGCAGGTTTCGAGTCAGGCCTAATCTCACGTCCCTCCCTGCGTTAACAAGTGAGTGCTGTACAACCTCTGGCCCCCAGTGGCATAAAGTGAAAGTTTGCTCTACTGTGCACACCACAAATAGGAGCCTGCTGGTAATTCTTCTACTTCAAGAGGAGGAATAAAAAGACCAGTTTTTAAAGTAAGAATTGAGTCCATTTTACAAGAGTATAATAGTTTTGGCCAGAAATCTAACACCTATTTAGAGATAAAGATGGTGCCACAGATTAGATTTATAAACTCAGTTTGGGAGAGGTTCTGTTTATCTTGAGCTGGAAGACACTTGGACCATATTAGATTTGAAAGCCTTATGTTCCAGACCAAAATGGGGTAGGCCAATTTCCTGTCATCCAAGCAACTGTAAAAGCCTTAAGGCTGAAAAAAACAGTTTTTGCTTTATTTCCCCTATGAAACACAATAAGAGAGTTTTACATTAAAATTGTTTTGTACCTCCCTGCTCCAAACAGCCACAAACATGGTACTTATTAAACGTCTGCCCACTCACGCCTGAAACAGTCTTCCAAGACTTGGGGTGATGATGGCTTCGTCCCCTGGCCTCGGGGCCAGTAACCAAGTCCCCTGTTCTCCAGTCACTGCTGGGCTTGACAGCTGTAGCAAAGGGTCCTCTACATCTAGGCCTCTGTGACAATCAGGTCTCTGGTGACTTGAAAAGCAGCAATGAGGGAACTCAGCTGAATCTTCTCGTTGGTGCCAACAGAAAGTCTGTACCTGAAAGAAATCAAACAAAAGGTAAGAACAGAGAATATCAAGGACAGCCACCTTTTAACAAGAGATCAAAGACTGAAAATCTGAAGGAGAATGGGAGGTAATAAAAATGTATCCTGGACAGCAATCTTCTAAGTGTCCCCTAACATTTTCTTCTCTGCCCTAAACACTTATAAATTTGATTCAAACTGGTGAGGAAAAAATTTAAAAATTGTTATCAGTAGCAGTGTTCTGAACCTAACTGTTTTATCTGTATATAGATACGCAGAATTTACGTGATTAAGGATTATTTCATCAACCACAAAATGCATTAAGAGAGGAATTGTAATTAAGATGTCTTTCCTCTTAATTCACTGGGAAGTTTGGTTGACATCTGTGGTTCTGTGGTCTAGTCAGTAAAGCAGTTCATCTTGCCACCTTTTAAGTCCCCAGCCATTGAAAGCAGAATACTGATATTCACAATGTAGTGATAAGTAGTGACCTAATTTGTGCACGTGAAGGCCAGTCATGGCAAATTAGCATTGGCCTCTGTTGATGTCTGTTTTGAACCCAATGCTTTGTCTGTTTAAATAATAGCTGCCAGCTTCACTGGGGGCTAATAACTGTGTTAACTGAACCAGGCAAAGTGGAAAATTGAGTTTATATTTACTTTCCCCCCAATATGCCTTAGTACGCCAAAATGCTTTAATAACAGCTCGACGCTGGTCGTCCGCCAACAACCTGCACGTCTGAACTTCATGAAGCAGGCTTCCCAAATAACAAGAGCATTTCCAGAACCAATGCGGACCCCAAGCCTTTGAGGTCTTTATCCCAAATATGTAACTGAGCTGTACCCGCCTTGTGTTCATTCATATGTTCTTCAAATAAGCAACTCACAATCTTCCCCATGTTTCATTCAATAATACCACCAAAAACTAGATTATACCATATATGAATGATTTAAAAAGGCTGAAATCAAGAAAGTAGAAACAAAAAACAACGGATAAAAGGAGGAAAAGAATTAAAACTGGGAAATAAATACTCACTCAATGTCTGCCATTTTGGTTAATAAATGTATTCGAACTGAAGTTGGGAAGTCAACTGGGGGAAAAACAAAATCAAATGAGTGAGGTCTGTCACTCCCTACTATTAAAAAAAAAAAAGACAAGTATGATTTTAAACATCAAATAGATAACTAAACTTCTCTTGAGGTCTGAGATCACTAGATACCACACCTCTAAGGAAGCAAAAATTGTATATAAGTTTTCACACTTTTTATCCACTCCATTTTATAATTCGTCATAGAGTAGCCAAAATGATAAAAAACCAGCAGATTCCAAAGTGATCACGAGCACCCGGAAGCATTATCAACACTGCTCTTTTAGCAACTGGGCAGCTCTACAAGCTAACTTGAAAGCTGAGCTCTCACTGTCCCAGTTTTAAAAACAAACAATTGATGTTTAAAAGTCAATTCATGGGGGCCGGCCCCGTGCGCGCGCTCGGATGCCGGCGGCCCGGGTTCGGATCCCGGGTGCGCACTGACGCACTGCTCCTCCAGCCACGCTGAGGCCGCGTCCCACATACAGCAACTAGAAGGATGTGCAGCTATGACAGACAACTATCTACTGGGACTTTGGGGGAAAAATAAATAAATAAAATCTTTAAAAAAAAAAAGTCAATTCATGCTCAGATTGCACAAAGTGCAGAGCTGGGCTTGGGCCGACCATGTTCTTGGGCAGAAGCGAACATGCCAGCCAGCCAGGAAGAGGCCTGTGAAGGCACCGTCAGAACCAATATTCATGGACCCGACTGTCTCTGTCTGCAGTTGGCTGTTGTGGAGGGAAGAGCTTCTCCAAAAGGCTGTGCCAAAGATCACCCAGTGAGTTAGAAAATACTGATGCCCATTCCCTCCCAAAAGGCCCACTTAATTGTCTGCAGTGACTTCCACGTGCTGCGAAGGTTGGGAACTGATTATATAGAAGAGAGGTCCTTCTCCCTCTCTCCTTTTGGGAAAAATATTGTTAGAAATGTGAATTAAAACATACTACTTATTGCTGTCAAATACAAACCCTTGGAGGAAATAAAGTTAGCCTTCAGGAGTTTCCACTCTCCCCAGCAGTTCTAGAGGTTAAAAGAGTATTTTTGGAATAGTTTTAAATAGCAAGACAAAACTAAAAATGAGGGGTCAGGTTTACACTTCCTCTTCATTCCTGTTTCTTTGCTTCAAAAACGAAGCCTCGTGTTCCCTCTCTGACCACCCTTAACCCCAAAGCACGCTACCCTCGTCACAGCTTCTAATCCAGGGACGAGGGTGTAAGTTACCTCTGTGCACAAACAAGTGTATCTCCGTCAGGATATCATGTAACGCCAAGCCCTTCAGAGTTTTCAACTCCGTAATATCTAGAGAGGAGCAGTTAAGGCACACGGAACAAGTTCCAGAACAAATACGCTGCAGAGGATTTTGAATCCACACCCTAGTGGGTGACTTCTGAAAGTAGGGCTTTTAGGCCCAACACAGCTGTTGCTCTTTTTCCATTTGAAGCTGCACATGTTGGACCCCAATTCTTACTTTTCTTATGTTTTCATCTTCAATATGGACTTGCTGAAGATAAGGTTGTATCTCTGTCTAGTAGAGAATAGAGCCAAATGCATCCCCAAAAAGGCTTCACCCTAGCTTTTAACTTCACAGTAAAACAGGAGTAACACTGACCACTTGGAAATGATTGCATCTTCCATCCCCATGTCTAACTGCTGCTCTCCCCATCTGCGAGTGAAGTGGCTTCAAGGTCAGAGCCCTTCAGGAAGAACTTGGGGACATTAAAGACAAGTCCCCACTCTATCCACAGACATCGTGCTCCCACGACAAGCTGACCAGAGTCCCACACAGCCAACTGTCCTTCACCAGTAGGGTGCAGGTGCGGGCTGCAGCCTGAGCAACTGGGGCCAAGTTCAGGTCTCAGGCACTTACTGTGCCGTTGGCAGGACACGAGAAAGGATACTTCTGTAGGCTGTGGTGAAGTCTTGATTCAACATCCAGTCCAGAATGTTGGCGATGTCTGACTTGAGCGGGTGCCCTGTGCAGGTGTAGACAGTCTCCTCTGTCACCTTTCCAAAGGCCATATTGGTGCTCTGTGCAGACAGGGGGAGAATCACGGTGGCTGTCACAGCAGCCGCCATGCCGCAGGCCAGTCAGGAAGAAACTGCTGAGGCAGCAAGGTTACACGGGCACAGCACAGCTCAAACCGCATATTTTTTACGCTGGTCAGAGTTGGCCTCATCAGAGGATGCTACTGCTTGTTGGCTATGTTACAGCTGCAAAATCATTCCCTACCTTTCCCTTGTTTGCAACAAATTACTTTTTCAATTAATCAAAACGCAAAAGTGGGGGAAAATCTTTGGCACATTATGAGATCGAGGTCTTAGCAATTCTAGATTTCTGAATTTACAGGTTGGTTGTGCTGTTGCTTATGTCTTTCTTAAAAAACTGTTCTGAAGCAATGACTGAGATTTGCTAGGAGTAGTACTGTACCTGCAAAATGTTCAGGGCCCTTCGCATATCTCCACTGGAGAGAGTTACAAGTGCCTTCATCCCGTCTTCACTTATAGCAACTCTGAAAGGAAACAGGCAGAAGGGATGTTGAGGCCCCTGAGAGCACAGGCATTCACCCAGGAATGAGATGGCCTGGAACGATTAAGGCTTTGAAACAATGAAAGAAAAAGAGGGAAGGATGGTGTTAACAATACTCTCCCCTCTAGGATCTAGAATCTACTCTGGTTTTTAGGGATGTAGGCTTCACATTAGTATTCACCGCCCACTCAAAATCTAGAAAAACCCTTATTTTAGGACCAAGCGTTGCTATGTTGAACAACCAGCTCTGAATTATGTTCTCTGGAAAGAGCACTGGCGAGATCTGTGATCACAGAGCCAAAGCGCCTCCTTTCAAACGAGCAGCAGCTTGGGTTGGCTACCTGCCTGGCATCTGATTACATAGAATGCAATGTCTCAGAACCTTCCCTTCTAGTCAAAAGAGGCTGGAGGCATCTTAGCAGAAGGCACTTGGCAGCATGTAGTTTCCAATGACAAAAGAAGAGTAGGAGGCCACTGGGACAGCTTCCAGGGAAGGAGGAGAAGAACCAAATGACTTTTATGAAGAATGTCTGGGAGATACCAGAGAAAATGACAGCAGCTAACAGACCCAGATGCTTACCCTCTGCTGGGCACTCCGCTAAGTCATTTACAAACATTGTCTTTAAATGAAAACCAGCCAGCCATCCCAGAACCCTACTTACACCACAGGTAATCCCCAAGGCTCTCATCTTTCCTGCTTTTCAGTATACTTACTTCTCTTCTTCTACAACATGTTCCAGGCGGGGAACCATGAGTTCAGGAGTGAGGGGACCGAATCGGAACCTTGTACATCGAGACTGCAAGGCCGGGATGATCTTTGACAGGTAGTTACAGATGAGGCAAAATCTGGTATTTTCAGTAAATTTCTCAATCACTGGCAAGGGAAAAGAAAACCACCTCGGGTCCATTCTGAAACTTCAAGGGACTCAGAATTCTGAACTTTTCTATGGTCCTACGGAGGGTAGGGGAAACAAGAATTCAGGAATGCAAACAGTTGGGATGCTGCTGTAACAGGGTGTCACTGGCCTGGTCAAGACTGGAAATCAGCCACTCTCCTTCCAAAAGCTGACAAACACGTCACCTCCAAGGGTTTTACAAAACGCTTCCTTTTTAATGCTTCGCCATGATTCTGGCGCTCTTAGCATTCCGTTCCTTTAAGATATGAACTCCAGTATTCCTGCCCTTTTGCATAAAATTCTATTTGGCAGGTTGATGACGCTCCACCTTACACTGGGCAGGGAGGGGGATGGCTTTTTGCAGACTTTCCAGTGGACCTTGTCTAGAAGCCTTAGAGCATTCGAGAGAGCAATAACCCGAATTCAGAGATGTTTATGACAGCAGTTTCATTTTGTAGGTACCCAATGTTCTTGCATGGGGATCTGCCCAGACTGACAGTCACTCCACAAAGCAAGATGCCAAAGAAAGGCTGCCAAAGCTTCTAGGACCAGAAGATATTCTAACTGTCCTCCTCCTCCTCATCTTAAACATGGGCTGCAATCCACTCCTTCCCCCACAGAACTCCTAAAGATTGTTCTCTCCTAGCCGGTTACCTCAGAATCTTAATGAGAGAGATTATGAATGTCCTTTCAAAGAAATCTACTGCACCAGGCCCCTTAAGACAGACAAATCATAGGATAGTCTCCCTTCCCTGCCAAATCACTCACTTGGCAAGTAGGGAAGTAATGTCAGCTTTCTGACTGTGACTAAATTCCCAGTATTATTTTTCTGGCTATTTTATATCTAAGGGTACCCACAGGAGAAAGGTCTATCCAGCTGTTTAGGAATGAAAGACTTTCCATCACCTCTCATCAAGCAATACAAATTCCCAACCCTGAAACTGACCGCAGCAGAAAAGGAGGATGAAACACCAGTGTCTGGTCATACTTAAGTAAAGTCCCAAGGGGCCTATGTCCTTAAACTACTGACAGGGGAAACCCCCAACAGAGAGATTTTGTCCAGATCATCAGGTGGGATACACAGAGAAAGGTATATAGCGATTTCTCCACACCAGAAGATGAACAAAAACTGAAAACAAGCCACGCCACAGCTCACGCCCGAAGTTCCTAATTCTCCCCTGGTGCACTGAGCAGCTAACACATCGAGGCTGGCATCTCTTCTTACCTCTCCTCAAGGCATTCTGGGCATCCTGAGTCATGGCATCAGCTTCATCCAAGATCACTAGTTTAAAGCCTTTCCTAGGAAAAAGAACAGTACCATCTCAAAATTTCTTCCCTCTCACTTCAACTTCCAGGCACACCTACCATCAGGCCCTGTCTCATAAAGTCCATTTCGCCTGTAACTTTGACCAAAGCAGACATGTGTGGTCACCCAGACAGGAGACACCCCATCACTCCTTCAACTCTTAAAGGGAACTGAAGTCTAACTTCTGTATTTTTGTTACGCTGTATCCTCAGGCACCTTCATTTTTCTTCTGCATAGTAGCCTATTACTCAGTGCTGCTTTTTTCTATCACCTTCCCTCATGCCTTTTTCATCTTTTTCTTTCTTTTTTTCCCCCACTGTCCTAATTATCTGTCCCAATCTCAATTCATTTTTGTTTAAATTCAAACTAGCTCATCCAGTCTTAGACTGTAATCAGTCCTCAGTTAACTAATAAAATGAAATTAATGCTTCCCCAAAGAACTTGCTAATATAGGTTTAGATAATATCTTATTTTAATACTTACATTTTAGTATTTCTTACTACCTTCCCTGCAATTTATTTCTTTTTCATGGCTGCTTTTGACAAAGTTATTTTTTTTTTTACCTTTAACTGGCAAAGGGGAGGATTAAAAAAAGGTCTATCCAGCTCATGATCAAAATGTCTAGGGAGAGAAATTATGCAAATAATTCTTACTTAAATATTGTCCTTGTGCTAGCAAAGCTCAGGATTGGTCCCCGAACGATATCAATTCCTCGGTCGTCTGAAGCATTCAGCTAAATGTGGGAGAGAGAAGCCAGAATAAATAAAAAACATATTGGTGTGCTATCTACGTATTAATGTATCCTTTCATCAATCTAGCTCAGCAAGCTAGGTCTCTAGGTTTAATGACAGCTAACAGATAATCACTATTAAAAAAAAACAGGGGCCGGCCCGGTGGCGCAAGCGGTTAAGTGCGCGGGCTCTGCTGCGGCGGCCAGGGCCGCCAGTTCCGATCCCGGGCGCTCACCCACGCACCACTTGTCCAGCCATGCTGTGGCGGCGTCCCATATAAAGTAGAGGAAGATGGGCATGGATGTTAGCCCAGGGCCAGTCTTCCTCAGCAAAAAAGAGGAGGACTGGCAGATGTTAGCTCAGGGCCAATCTTCCTCACACACACACACAAAAAAGATCACAATTGTATTTAAAACGCATAACTCACTAGACCATTACATAACATTCTGGAAGGCAAACAACTTTTTTTTTCTCCCCCTTTTGAGGACAATCACTGACATAAACTGAAGGAATAATTAATTGGCCTGGTCACACTGAACAGCACCTCTGGTATGAGAATGATGCTAACTTTAGCCACCACAACCCAGAGCAACCCGGAAGTTACCAAGTTTTTAAGACATGGAAGTAAGAATGTTGGTGGCAGCAAGATTCTAAGGTCTATATCAAAAAAATAAGTTAAACTTTTTTTTCTTGCAATAGACAATATTTAGAATTTTGTAATCTAAGTGTATCAGTCAAGGTCCCAGAAGTAAACAGATGGCCTAACCAAATTAAGTAATTTGGAGAGAATTAAAGGAAGAGATATTTTATTTTATTGATTTTTTTGTGTGAGGAAGATTAGCCTTGAGGTAACATCCGATGCCAATCCTCCTCTTTTTGCTGAGGAGGACTGGCCCTGAGCTAACATCTGCGCCCATCTTCCTCTACTTTACGTGAGACGCCGCCACAGCATGGCTTGACAAGCAGTGCGTTGGTGCGCGACTGGGATCCGAACCTGCGAACCCCCAGCTGCCGAAGCGGAGCAACTGAACTTAACCACTATGCCATCAGGCCGGCCCAGGAAGAGATATTTTAAAAGGTGTTGGTGGGGTGTGGGGAAACCACAAGGGCTATGTGATACCTCAGGGACTACTGGGGCCCATTACCACCCCCAGGTCTTATGGGGTCAGGGGCAGGACTGATATTGGCACCTGGGGAGGGCTGTGTGATGTGCCCTGCAGGTGGGGATGCTGCCAGCCTGTAGTGACCCCCAGGGCAGGACCCGGCATTAGTCTCCTTCCTCTGACCCCTGCCAAGGCCTCTACTGGCCAAACCCAACCAGGAGCCAGAGGGCAAGGGAGCTTGTAGTCAACACAGCTCAGCTGTCCGGGGCAAGAACAGGGTGGAGAGATGTGGAGAAGCTATCGGGAGGGGCACATGGGAAATAGCCAGCAACTGACAGACCACCAAGTGTTTGGGTAAAAGTTGGCAACAGCAAAAAAAGAAAAATAAAAAACAAAGCCTAGCCCTACAACTGCCCTGTCGCTAACGCCAATCCAGACAATTATAGAAAAAAGTGAACTGAAATATCTTATTTTATGTCTGCTTCTTTCCCAACTGCCAGTAGGGCAAATGACTTTTAAAGTAAAAGGAAACTAGCAGAACTAAAAGTAAGAGGCTGGCGTCCTTGATAGACTAAGAATAATCTTGTTATTTACCTCTAAGACCATGGAGCCGAATTCTTTCTCTTTGTACAGCTGTTTAGCACAGGCTAGGATGGTGGATGTCTTTCCTGTCCCTGGAGGACCATAGAGAAGCAGGTGCGGCAGCCGATCTTCACTGATAAATTTGTGAACTGAGGATTGGGAAGAAAAAGAAACACCGTCAGTCTCTGCGAGTTGCCTCATTCACTGTGGGCCCTATGAGTTGGGCTGAATGCACTTCAGCCCTATGTTCAAACCAGAGGCAGGTGCAGGAATGAAAAATGGGAAGCACTCAATTCTTTTCTTTTGAGGAAGATTGGCCCTGCCCTAACATCTGTTGCCAACCTTCCTCTTTTTCTTTTTTCTCCCCAAAGCCCCAGTACATAGTTGTATATCACAGTTGTCGAGTTGTAGCTCTCTCTATGTGGGACGCTGCCTCAGCATGGCTTGATGAGCAGTGAGTAGGTCCGCGCCCAGGATCCGAACCGGCAATGCCAGCCGCCAAGGGGAATGTGACACGCGAACTTAACCGCTGCGCCACAGGCCAGCCCCTTAAGGACTCAAGTTTTAAAGCCACATTCCATAAAGCTCAATCAGATTCTTCACAGTTATTACTCAGTAGAGACAACATCACCAGGAAATGTATACAGGTCCTTCGGCTAGAATAACAGCAGCTGTCACCTGGATACTTACTGGTACTCAAAATGTCCTGATGAGAAATAAGATCATTCAGTGTCTGCGGCCGGTATTTCTCAACCCTAAAATACAATTTAGCAAGGATTACAACATACATAAATTAAAGAACATTTTGGTATGTGCAAAAGAATCCTTTCATATCCTCACTAAAAGAGGAAGAGGAATAAAACCCTTTAGGTTTGAATTTAAACCAGTGGTTCTCAACCAGGGGTGATTTTATCCTCCAGGGAACATTTGGCAATATCTAGAGACATTTTCCATTGTCACAACTGGGTAGATGCTCCTGGCATCTAGTGGATAGGCCCCAGGGACGTTGCTAAACATCCTACAATGCACAGGACAGCCCCAATGCCCTCCCCCCGACAAAGTATCTGGCCCAAAATGTCAGTAATTTCTAATTTCACCTTTCCAGCTGTCTGCCTATAATCTCAACCTGGACGGGCAACTATTATTTCAAAGTGAATTCAAAATTGAACTTGTACCCAAATATACATCAACAGATGAATGAATAAATAAATGGTAGTATATCCATATGATGGACAGTGAAAACATTATGCTGAGTCAAAGAAGCCAGTTAGTTACAAAAGGCCATATATTCATATGATTCAATTTATAGGAAATGTCCAGAATAGGCAAATCCATAGAGACAGAAAGCAGATTAGTGGTTGCCAGGAGGCGCTGAGGGAGGGAGGAATGGGGAGTGACTGTCAATGGGTATGGGGTTTCCATTTGGGATGATGAAAAATTTTGAAATTGAGATATTGGGATGGTTGCACAACTTTATGCAATTGAATTGTACACTTTAAAATGGTTACAACTGTAAATTGTATGTTATGTGTTTTAACCATGATAAAAACACACAACTCGTTATTAGACAAGAACAACTTGGAGTTTTCCGACAGCAAGCCAAATCCCATCCAAGTCTTTAAAGCATCACTAGGATAGCTATGGAAGTAGGATGGTTAAGAGTGCAAGCTCTGAATCCAGACCTCCTGGGTTCAAACCCAAGCCTATTTTCTAGCTCTGGACCTCAGCCAAGGCATTTAATCTTTAAGACACTGTTTCCTCAAGTGTAAAACTGGAATAATGACAGTATCTACCTCCCATGGTCTTGGTAAAGATCAAACATCTAATAGGGTGCCTGCTAATCTAATAGAAAGCCGTTTAAATAAAAGTTAACTAGGGAGCGTTATTATTATTATCATCATTATTTTACTTAAGATTTTGGCAAGAGGGAATGCCGTTTTGGCACAGAGGCCAATGCAATGTCAAAAGACGCGGGATCGACCCCTTGTGCAGATGCGTGCGAAAGCCGCTTTCCTCTTCGGGCAAAGGAATCGGTGGGTGGGGAACCCGGCAAAAGTCCTAAATAGAACGGAGGGGGATGGGGTGTCGAGATGAACCTCTGTGGCTCCGCCCCGGCCGCAGGTCCGGGGGCAGCGGGCCCAGCCACTTGCCCAGCTGGGCCACCGCCTCCCCGCGCGGCCCAGCCCCTTTCCCGGCAGCCGGGCCTCCTACCAGGGCAGGTTCCTGATCTTGGCCGCCGCGGGCTGCTGCTGCTGCTGCTGCTTGTGTACGGAGGTCTCCATGGCGGGGAGACGAGGGTGACCAGGTCCGCTGGGGTCGTCGCGACCCCCAAGGGACCTGCTCAGCGACCAGCGCGATCCAGCGCAGGGACCCTAACACTCAGAGTTCGCGCGCAAAGGTAACTCTCGCGAGAGTTAGCCGCCTGCTTCCGACTTCCTCCCTTGGTCCCGCCCCCTTTCCGTTGCTAAGGCGCAGGTTGCCAGGTTACCGGGAGGCGCCGGCCGCCACCCTCCCTCCGGCTCCGCCCTTCTAGCCGGTGCTGCCCTCTCTGCCGCGCCAAGGGGCTTCCCGAGCCCAGGGAGAGGGGGCGAGGCGAGGCCACCCCCTGCAGCCGCCAGTCGTCACAAATTAAAGTCTCACGGCCGAAGCCAAATCCAGCCATCACCAAAGTTCAAACACCGTTCAAAGGAACAGAAAGCTGCCAGCGCTAAAGAATCCTTAGGAAAAAACAACCCCAAATGACACGGCCAATACTTGAAGATGGATGCCCGATTGAAGAAAAGGCTCACAATACCTTTTGGCTCCCAACCTGGTAGTAATTCGAATTCAAAAACAACTCCAAACAAACGCAACTCCAATCCGTCTCCCAAATCCACGTCCCTCACCCAACAAAATGTAGAGAACCATCCTCCAGAAACAACTCCAGAGTGAAAACAAAAAATAAACTTCCAGTTAGGTTAATACGGTAACCGGAAAGGGCTAGTTAATAAGCACAGAGGACACGGTCCCTAGGATCTGAAGATACTGAGGAGCATCCGTCTCAAAATCCTAGTGTTTTTCTGAGGTGAGGGGATTATAGACCACTTTTATTTTCTTCTATTTGGCTGATCTGTGTTTCCCGGCAATGAGAGTGTGTTACATCCATAATAAAGTTTTTGTTTTTGTTTTTTAACATGTTGGGAAAGACAACAATACTGGGAGGAGATGAGGCTGCCCTGGGGTCAGAAGTGTTCTGATTCAGAAGTCGCAGCTCCTTGCGTCTTATTATTATCACTGTCACCTGCTTTAGGAACAGAGTAGAGGGACACTGGGGAAATACATGAGGGCAGTTATGGCTTCACCCTAGCCCGTGCCTGGGGACTGAGAAGAAGGAGGTGAGATGTGGCTTGTGGTATGACAGTGCCCTACTCTCTGCTTCCTCCCAGGCCAACTCCGACGCTGGTTTTTCAGATCCTTAGCATGCCTCTTTCCCCCCTGAGCCTTGGGCGGGTTCCTTCTCTCCTCATCCAATAACATCTGCTCCAAGATGGTTGTGAGGATGAAATGAAATAACATACGTAAAGCTTCCAATGCACTGCCACCTCACTCTCTCCTTCCCTTCGAACATACTCTCCACCACCCTGTTCTTGTTCCAAATGTTCCCTCCCAAACAAAATCTAAAGAATTGGCTGGTGTGACTATGCCTGTGAGGGTTAATTTTATGTGTCAACTTGACTGGGCTAAGGGATGCCCAGAGAGATGGTAAATATTATTTTTGGGGCTGTGTCCCTAAGGGTCTTTCTGGAAGAGATTGGCATTTGAATTGGTAGACTGAGCAAAGGAGATCCCCCTCATCAATGCCGTTGGGCACCATCCAATCCATTGAGGGCCTGAATAGAACAAAAAGGCAGAGGAAGGGTGAATTTGCTCCCTTTTGGAGCTGAGACATCCATCTTCTCCTGCCTTTGAACATCGAACATCGGCACTCTTGATTTTCAGGCATTTGGATTCAGACTGAATTATACCACCAGCTTTCCCGGGTCTTCAGCTTGAAGATGGCAGATCGTGGGACTGCTCAGTCTCCATAATTCCGTGAGCCAATTCCTATGATATATACACCTTATATAAATATCTATACAAATATGAATATATAAAATATATTAAAAATATTAAATATATATTTATTATAGAAATATATTATTAATATAATATATATTTATTGTATAATACATAATATAAAATATATTTTAAAATCTACATAAATATAAGTATAAATATAAATTTTGTATATCTATATATTCTATTGGTTCTGTTTCTCTGGAGAACCCTGACTAAAAATGCTATTACCTGGGCTTTATTCAACTACCCTGGTAAGAGCCATCCTGCTAAGGGGCCTTTGCATTAGAAACATGATATTGCCACCTCCTTGAGCTAGAAGATATGAACAGACTGAACCAAGTTCTCATAAAACTCTGTGTGCACCTGCTGTTCAGTTTGTGGGCAATGCAGAATTCTTCTGTGGGACATTATATTATATATTTACAAGTTCATCTATTGTGTGCCTCCCCTACGGACTGTAAGCTCGTTGAGAAGTGAGGCTTTGACTTATTCACCACTGGACTCCTGGTGTCTGGAATACTGCCTGGCTCAAAGGAAGCACTCAATAAGTCTTCCATGAATGAGTGAATGATAATAGCTACTATTCATTAGGCAGCTACTATGGGCCAGACACTGTTGTAAGTCCTTTACATTTATTATACTCACTCAATTGTTGCGATAGTTCCAAGCTATATCATTGGCCCCATTTCATAGATATATTAAGTAACTTGCCCACATTCTGACTTGGTGTAAGGGACAGAACTGGATCTTATCAAGACAGTGTGATTCTATAGCCCAAGCTCTTAGCCCAGTGCTAGTGTGGTCCCTGCACCAGCAGCAGCAGCCCCTGGGAACTTGTTAGAAATGTTAATTATTCTTCTCCCCACCCTAAACCCATTGAATCTGAAACTCTGGGGGTGGGCCCAGTCATCTGTGTTGTAACAAGCCCTCCAGGGGATTCTGATGCGCTCAAGTTTGAGAACCACTGTCCTACCCTCTACTGCTTCTCAATCCGTGAGCTCCCTATGACTTCACTTTCTAAGAAAAAGAAAGGATACTCACATGCATTTTTCTGGAAAAACAAAGGTGTCCTATTAAATGTCATTTGTATGCGTGTGGTTTTGTTTGTTTCTGTTTTTGCTATTAATTGAAGGTATAGTCCTTTGGGCAAGTTACTTAATATCTCTTTGGACCTCAGTATTGGCATTTCTAAAATGAGCAGGGGCACGGGGCTTGACTAGAGAGAGGGATGGCATTAAAAGCACCTGAGGATTTTAAACAAGTCCAATGCCAGAAGTCCAACCAGACAAATTAAATTTGGCCTCTGGGGTGGGACCGGGCACCGGCATTTTAAAAAGCTTCCCAGGTGATTCTAACATTCAGCGAAAGTTAAACTACTGTCCTGGACGAAGCCAATCACAGCAACCCTAGTCCCCTGATTGGCTTAAAGGGTGAGCATGTGACCCAGTTCTGCCCAATGAGATGTGAGGAGAAATGGGGGTGGGGGGGAGGCGCCTCTGGGACGCTTGTCTCATTACTTTGCAGAGCCTTGCGCTAGATGGTCTTTAGCTTCTCTCCCAGTGCCAAAGTTCTATTACTTTAAAGAGAAAGCGCAAGATAAAGCCTGGAGTTACAGGCTCATATGTCTATAAATAGTCTGAAAGTTAATATATAAAGGGAGGGTTCGGTGGAAATTATGCCCTGCCTCAAGGGGGCGGAGTTTGTAGATGGAAGATTTAAGCAGAAAAGGAATGCAGCGACGAAATATTGGATAGCTCACAATCAGTAGGAAGGCTGGAGAACCTGGTTTGGAAAATGGGACAAAGACAGGCCATGGAACTGAAACCATGGTCAGAATTACTCCATGGAACCATCCAGTAAGGAAACTGCTGCTGCCGACCTTTCCATGCTACTACTCCTAGAAACCGAGTGTTGGTTTCACCGTTTCTACTGTGAGAAAGAATTCGCCAGTTCTCTCCTGTACTGGATTCTTCCTAAAACTAGTGCCCCATTAAGAGCATGCCTAATTGGCCAGGCCTGGGTCACCTGCTAGCGCGTACCAGTCTACAGCTTGAATGGTGGGAAATGACGTCTTCCTCCCACCAAGACTTGTGACCTGGGACATCCCTAAACTTAGGATGGGGGCTCAGATGCTGACAGCCGAAAGGATCACACATGTCCACTACAAGAGTGTTCGATCAGAAGGGACAGTAGCCAAATGTTGCCAGATCTTCTGATTTTTCAAGAGAAACCAGAAATTTGGATTTTTATGTGCAATTCCTGTATGTTAAACAATGGCAACTAATTTAAAAAACTCCTGGCCAAGTGATCACTGTAGGATCACTTTATGACTTGATTTCTCAAGGACAGATGATCAGGCAAAAGATGTAATAATTCCTTGTTATCCTCATCTTCTGCCTGGATTTTAGCCCTTCTGGAGGATTGAGGACAAATCAAGCTGGCATTTCCTTGTGACTTGTGACATTGATGAGCGCAGGCACAAACTTTTCTTATACAGTCCGAACCAGATATGGAAATGCTTTAATAAAACATCAGGTCTTGAAGATGGCAGGATCAGAGGTTACAGACAAAATTACCAACAAAAGGCGTTGGCTCTTAAAATTGAATTAGGGAAGGGGAGCCCTGGATTTTATTACTCTCAGCTTTGGAACAAACTTGGCTTTGGACACAGCACTTACTGCCTTCGTTTATTTTTAAGACTTGTTCTTATGAGAGAATGGGATGTGAGGCTATCTTTGGAAGATGCTGGCAGAAGAAAATCAGACTGGGTCTTTCTTCTGAACGTGTTTATACTGGTGAAATCATGTTTAAACGAAGAGCAAGCATGTGAAGGAGGAGAAAAATCTCAAAGGGCAACTTGAAGAGTGTTTATAAGGGAAAGGGCCATCTTCTTTGGTGGCCATGGCAAAATCATTGACTGATAAGGAATTTAAATCCCCAGATCTTTTGGGGTACTTCTCCCTTTCAAACACTTTCTTTTGTCAGAATCCCAAAAATGCCCCGCATCGGGGCTTAGGGAAATCCATTCATCATCCCTTCACATTTGTTGATTAAATAACTAATGAATGGTTATTTATCAGTTCTTGAATCTGATTCTCTTTAAGTTTCAGATTGAAAGGCTAACTCATATGAATTTGCTCCATGACACTTGGGCTCAAAAAATTTCACGTTTCTTTTTTTTTTTAATCTTATTTATTTATTTATTTATTTTCCCCCTAAAGCCCCAGTAGATAGTTGTATGTCATAGTTGCACATCCTTCTAGTTGCTGTATGTGGGACGCGGCCGGGGTGCGTCGGTGCGCGCCCGGGAT